CATAATCTATACTTCAGCTTCAGTTTTTTTATTATGTCCTTAGTGTACCACAATGGATACTTCGAACTATTCTTTGGAACTGTTTTAGGAACACTACTAGCAATACATGCCTTAACCCTAGAATAAAAAATCTCACAAGCTCTGTCAACATCTTCCTCATGCATAAGATCGTCCCAGTTAATATTAAGTAGATCGTCATATAGTTTTAGATAGTTAGCTTTACGAAAATTGTACCTGGGTTGCAATGGGTTTATAACGTTAGTTTCAATCACACCTAATGTAAAGGCAATTTCAAGAGCAGGATGGTATCCGTCTTCAAGTAATAGCGGCTCCAAACATCTAGTGATAGAAAGATTTGTGCGACTAAACACTAAGTCAAGTAAGCGATTATGAGAGTTCAATACTCGATTATATTGTGCAAGATTTAGGAAGTTCGAAAAATTATTTATGGACACCATTAATTCATTATGCAGCGATGGGTCACACTGTAGATTGTGAAATTGAGGAATATTAAAGTCACCCAGGATAATTAAATTGTCATCATTCAAAAAGTCCATGCAACCAGATATGTGATCATAAAAGATATCGTATACGTCTGAGCCTAAACTTGGCGGAAAATAAACCACAATAAGATAACATATTTTAGAAGATATACTAATCTTCAAAGCTAACGCATCGACCACAGGCAACGCACCAGACAACCCTGACAAGTCAATATAGATCGCATGATATGTTTTCTTTACCGCTATTAGAACCCCACCACCGGTCTTAGTGTTAGTTTGTTCACACTTCCGGTCAGATCTGAAGACTACAAAGTCATCGTTAAATACTTCAGAGTCAAGTACGGATGAGTTCAACCACGTTTCGCTAAATGCAATTACGTCAAAGGAACAATCGATAGAAGCATTACACAGGTTGATAAGTTTTGTGTTTAAACCGCGAACATTTTGATAATAGATATTTAAATTTTTTATTTTATTATTCCTGTGATGAGTTGATTGATCGAATGCAGAACCAATATTAGGATGCACATTAGCGTAATTAATCTGATTTAATTGCTATTTTATGCCAAACATGTCTGATTTGAACTTTTTAAGTTTTTCTATGAAGATGGGACATTGGGAATCCCAAGCAGCATGATCCATAGTAGATAGGCCTCTAGATTTACAATTAATACATTTAAACACACTTGGATCAGAAACTTTACAATCGCTGATCTTATGGTCGGCACTACATTTAGGACATTTAACAATTTTAGTACAGTTTTTAGCAAAATGCGAAAAGCCACAACATTTGTAGCACATTCGCAGCTCTATAGCATCAAAAACAGTACAACAATCATAACCCACGAACAACATACCCTCTTGCATAACCCTTTTGTAAGAATTAACATCCAATGACAGCTTAGCCTGAAATACATTTTTATTTTTTTTCAAAGGAGAGACGTCAATAACGGTTAAGTTTGAGTGTTCCACAAAAACGTGTTGATTCTGTTTCTTCAAGAAAGTTATCAATTCATCTGGTTCATGTTTTGCTGTAAGTCCGGAAATTCTTATTCTCGGGTTAATAGATCCAAGTTCCTTGATCTCATAGTTTGCAGCTAGTTTATTATCAGCTATTTGTTTAAACTTAACAATTTCTTCCTTACTAGAACACCCAACCACAATACCACCATCTCGAACATTTTTGATCCTTGAGACATGAAGACTTGATTCAATCGGATTTATATTTTTTAGAATATCAGATCTAGTTTTGGTGTACGTTTGAGATGTGTCTCTAGGTTTAATAATAACTGCGTTGGAATTAGTAGGGTTTTTTAAAACTGAAGCATACGATACTGATGGTTGAGATTCACCCGCAGAAACAATATTTGGAGATATTCTTATGGCATCCTGTAGTTCTTGTACTTTCCTCACAAATGAATCATTCAAGTTGTCCTTGAATGATAAAAGTGTATCATTCATTCTCCTATAAAAATCATCAATATGATCTTTAACGAAATTGATGAGGGTATCTTTATCAAAATCCCTCCTCAAAGCGGTTATATTTTCATCTATATTAGAGATGCTACTGTTAAACTTGTTTACGAATGTTGTTTCAACAACTTGGCATCTTCGATGACAAGAGTCACAAACATATAACAGGTTTTTTAATTTCTGGATCACTTTAAAATCTGAATCGGTCAGACCAGCACAAGAGTAGTGAAACCATTTACCGCATGGACCTTCACAACCTACCAGACACCATCTGGCTTGGTTCTACGACATTTAGCACAGTCCGACATATTAACTTTTAATCCATCTCTTTAAGGATTCGTGCAATTGATCCACGCCCCGCAGGAAATTTAGCAAAAACTTCTGGAAGTGGAACCTCTTCATAAAACGAGACTCGGTTAGACACACTAAGTTCACAAATAAATAACTCGTGTAGGAACCCACAGTTATAGTGTTAAAGAACTTATGTCAAAAATTTAAAGGGGTGAAAAAGGAGCAAAAACTGAGTTAACTGATGTCACAAACTTGTATCAGAAGTTTAAGGTTATAGAGAAAATAGCTAATTAAAAATGTGTTTAAAACTGTTTTGGAACTGCTGAAATACATGTACTTTATCGCTGCGAATACTTACAAAAAATTCTGTAACACTTTTTACGAGTTTGTAGGTTTCTTATGAAGCTGGATTGTATTGGAAAGTCAGTTTGTAATGCATTGTTGTAGTGATTGCTGTGCTGTTTTTGAGAGTACATTTAATAGCCGTATTTCGAAGTTTTTTTTTTTGAAACAAACGAAAATGACCACAGAACTTGTCAAGTGTACCATGCAAGATATTTTGAACGGCGTGCCCCTACACCGCCAATATTTGTTGCTGTAGCGCAAAGAGTTTCGCACACCAGTGAAGTATAACCGCGTCGAGGTCGTGACGGTGGCCCAGGGCGACCACTAAGAATCTTAAATGTCGAGGAGATGATTTAGATTTCGTCGAAGAAGATTCACATCGTAGCACCAGAAATATCGCACAGCAAGTAAATATTTCGTATTTTGTTGTGTGGCGGACATTACGAGAAGCTCACTTGTAGCTATTTCATATTCAATGTGTTCAAGCGCTTATTCCTGAGGATTTTCCACTACGGTGAGGTTTTTGCGAATGGTTGCTTCAGGAACATGCAAGAAATCCTCAATTTACGGCGCAAATACTTATTACTGATGAAGCACGTTTCAGTCGAAATGGTGTACGTAACATCCACAACACTAACCACTGGACTATCGAAAATCCACATGAAATACGTCGCGGTGCCTTTCAGCAACAGTTTTCAGTGAACATGTGTGCCTGTAGACGCTTAGACGGTGCCTCATATCTAGATTTTTTGCAAAATCGTTTGCCGGAGTTATTTGAAGCCATTAAAAGTTCGGCAAAATATGTACTAACCTACTGCATGACGGAGCGCCCGCTCACTTTTTTCGGTGCCAAACCTCACCCCATTAGACTTCTTTTTGTGGGGATATGTGAAAAGTGTTGTGTATTCCACGGAAGTTCGTGACATCGATCAACTGAGACATCGTATTTCCGAAGCTTGTAATACGATTCGAGAGGATGTGGCAATGTTACAACGCTTGCGGGCGAATTGAATACGTCGCGCTGAAGCTTGTGTGCAAACAAATAGTGGGTCCTTGCAATGTTGAGGTAAGTCAGATTTTAAAATTACATTTTACTCAATACAAATCCGTATATTTACCTCATTTTGCCATAACGGACATGTGGCAAAAATATTTGATATAAGTCCATTAACACCCTGTATTATTTTACAATGATAAAATTCTAATATTATAAATAAAAATTCATTAATCGATGATAATAATATAAAACATTTAGAAGTCAAATTAGAAAATTTAGATTTGACATCATCAAAAAATATTAGTGATTTTGTGAGCAAGAATACAGTTTTTATCTTTGAACAATTTAAATTATCTTATGACTACTTTCAAAGTGATCCTGATTCCTAGAATAATAATCTCGACCATCAACAATGTCTGGATACATTCAGAGAATTAAGAGTTGCTAATGACACTGCAGAAACAGGTGCAACTCTTATTGAAAAGTATAATGCCTGCTTAACACACGATGAAAATCAACGACAATATTTACCTACTATCAGTTGTTCAAAACCAGCGTAAAAATGATTCATTATGTGCTAAGTCCAATTATAAGTTATCATAACTTACATTAAACAAAATTAATCATCTCTCATTTGCATATATTTTAATATTATGGTATTTTGAAATCTAAAAGTAAATATAGTTATTAATGAATAAATTAACTGATTTATTAAATAAATATTTTAAATTAAAAATGGAATATATTTTTTTATTTTTATTTTGCAGCGTTAGTATGTTAAAAACTATTTTGTCATAATGTACAACAGTTATTTAACAATTTACAATCAAATTTTCAATACAATATGATAATACAAGGATATTTAAAGTTTTTATACATTTGGTTCAATTTATCTCGTGAACTAATAATAACTCTACGGCTTAGATACTGAGAACCTTTTGTATAGCAAATTTAATTTCCTGTAAAAAGCTATTTATTTTTGTTGTAAGTCTAGTTATTATGAGAAAAATGTAAAAATCGATAAAAATTAACTTAAGATTTTTTAACAGTGAAACCGTTCAAGTCACTTAGATCCTACTATGGGATCAAGAACAACGTTTGTCCTATAATTATTGTCCAGGGACAATAAAATAAAGAGAAATACAGCTTAAATACAGGTGTTAAACGAATAGGAAAATTTAAAAATCAAATAGCGAATACTTAAAATTAGTGCTGAAATTTGGTGAGATTTTTTTTTCCGATGTGTAGGACAATATTTCGTCAGTGGAACAAAAAACATGTACGTTTCGAATGAAGCACCCTAATGTAAATGATTATTGTACCACACAGTGTGAACATAATATTATTGTCCTTTAATGAGAATTTGATATTATTGTTATTTATGATTTTAGTATAGAAAACGATGTTCTCAAATAGTTACGTCCTGTAGATGGAATAATCAGTCTTTTACATGTTGTGACAACATGCTGCCGCTTGAAACGGAATATGGAGTTTGTTATTCATTAAATTCTTTGCACACAAAGTAAGAAAAATCTCTTTCTGTATATACTTCATAAAGTTAGACAGTAAATAAACGAGCTATTAAGATACTATTACTTTTTATATTATTTTTAAATGTATTATGGCAATTCAAACAAATTAAAAAAATATAATTTTTAAAAATTTTATAAGTAGAGTCAAACAATATTCGACACTAGAAATATATGTATGCAAAAGATATTCAATCCTACAAACAATATTGCTAAGTGCCTGATATTGCGGGAAACAATGAGCATCTCCAGCGAGATTGTAGCTTAAAATAGAACTATTTTAAACAGATATTAGATTAAAATTTTTTGTTGCAGCAGCTGATAAAATTGAAATGGTCATATTTTTTATAAATAAACATGGCACCCGTATCGGTGTTTTCTAGGCCCACAAAGAGAACTTTTATGATAAAAAAAAATTAAAATAGAGGATGGCTATTCTGGGACCTCGAAAAGGGATGCACGTATATGTGCAAAATATTTTTTTCCATAGACAGTTATAAATACAATTAGCTGTTTTTTTATTATTTTTAATAAAAATTTATTTTTTCTTAAAGCTACATTATGGATTTTGAAAAATTGGATATTAGTATGATTCGCAAATTTCGTTCCAAAATTTTCATCACGCAAGTTCTTTCTGGATATAGAAATTATCTCCTAAAAGAACGATACGGATCCTATGCTTCGTTATAAAAATGTGATTTTAATTTTTACTAGCTATCTATAGAACATAAACTATTTTATAAAAAATCCTATTAGTACAAACAATTTTTGATATGTAACTGAGAAACCTGGTAGGCATTAAATTTTATACTCGTTTTAGACAATTAGAGTCAATTACTTAATATAGCTTTCATAAAGACGTACAGTTTGGAACATTTAATCATACTTTATGTTACTTTAATAGTTTCTAAACGTAACTACTTGTAAGTAATATAAAATATCACTGCAGTCTCAAACATATATTTGATCTTTCTAGGAAGGGTGCTAAATCTCAAATGAATTTTATGATGAATAGGAAAACTGGTCCTGGAGAACTCTGGCTCCAAACAAAAGACGATGTCAGGGTAACTAAAATAAAAATAGAGATATATACATAAGTTTACAACTAAGGGTGTAAGAAAGATATGACAAACTGTCATCATCAAGACAAATAAAAAAGCAGTACTAACATTTTTTCCATAACGGTTCTTATGTGCTGCGTGAAACTTCGAAAATTGAAAATGTATCAAGACTACATTGTTTAAAAAATTTGTTGCTGCTATAAGTCATCCAAAGATATCAAAAACGTAATTTGTTGTTACCTTTAAAACAATTAATTGACATTTTTGTCATAGTGACTAATACGTTATACATGCATAGCTTTCAAAAAAATTTTATTGCTATAATTTTGATATCGAAGCATTATTTACATCAAAATCTATTGAGAAAAGTCGAAAACATAAATCCTTGCAACCATTAAATACATTTATTGTTGCTAAATTGTTGTTGTTCTAATTTTGATATCAAAACGTTCTTTACATCAGATCAATCGAAAAAGCTTCTCTTGTAAAATTTTCTTCATAGTAAAAAATTAAAACAAAAATTAATTTGTTATCGTATTTAAAATATTTTTTTTATAACGACTATAGAGATGAAAAAACAATGTTAATTTTTTTAAATAAATATTGCTCCTATAAATTAGTTATCATTTTTTACATCACAACATATTAAAGGAAATCAAAAACGGAACTTGTTACTACTTTCAAAATAGTATAATACTTCATCATGTACTTAATAAACACCGGTTGATGCCTTGACACTTTAACAGCTATTTGGGTCTGTCAGATATTATATATATATTATATATATTATGACCTTTATCTAATGAAAACATATTAATTGAATTGTATGCGTCTTTTCTTCGTAGAATTCTTTGGTCACCGTTAAAAATCCAAAAATCGTGACAAAACCTATTATCAGTAAAGCATAGATGGAACTTTGAATATCTTAAAGTTTTACAAATTTCAACGAAGGGTTGCCAGACAAATAGATTCCATCGTTCTATAATTGCAAATCTCTAATAGTTGAGAAATTAGAGCTAAATAATGGACATTTATCTGTGATCTGATTTTCATGGCTAATTTTGTGATGATTTTTGGACTTTTCACATGTGAAGTGTGAATTCGACAAAGCAAACTCAAGAGATACGAAAGGTCTGGCAAAAATGTGTACCAAGCCTATTTCATTAATATTTCTTGAATAACTGCTCAAAAATTGTTTCATTTTCAGTTTTTAGAACCTTTAAGTTATGAAAAATATGTTACTTTTTTTGTTTATTTTGATAATAGGAATTAGCTCTAAAAATTTGTCACAACATACTCGTAATTAGTACGATTTATATCATTTAGCTGTTACACTTTATTGCAAAACTATGTCAATGATATTTGTAACATTATGTGTAAACAAAGTTAATTTAAGAATACAATATTTTTCAAATTTAATTTTCCTAATACAATGTTCTTACAACTCTTTAGCAGAAATTAAATGGTCAAGAAATTCAACAACTAATAAATCGCAAATGCAGATCAAAATTAAACATAGGTACCTACCCATAGTAATTTTAGATTTTTCTATAATTATTTGATCAGTGATTGTCTGCTATTAGTTTAGCTTCAATATGTACTAATAACAGCTATTGTGGTACATGTATTTTGACTTTCCGCCCAGTGACAAAGGTATGAAACAATACTTGTTCGTATCTTTATAAAAAGAAAATATACAGGGTGTCTGTAAATTTCACCGACAACGTTTGACTGCATATTCACGACTATAAATAAGTGCAATCTACAAAAAAAAAATTAATAATTTTTTTGGTTTTTGAGTTACAGGCCAAAACTAATTTAGTTAATAACTTCATAACCCTTTTACCGATCGCGTTAAAATTTGGCACATTTATTTGGACTATTATGGCATATTATTTCTTAAAGTTTTAATCAAGTAGATGTACTACGTGGTGGTTTTCTCCGGTTACCTCACCTTTTACAGTGGTCGTATTTTTTTTATTTAATGGGCCAGCGGCAAAATTGTAAACGTGCGTAGGGTGCAAAATTTTGAAGTTCTTGAGCAGGATTTAAATGAAATGGCCGATGAAGTTGCTGTTATATACATTTAATTGTCTTGATACACTGCGGACACTTCTTCTCGGCTCATTTTCAATAACATTAAGAATTTCTTCTTCTACTTCAGGTAGCGACTGACGAGGACGACTGGCCGTTTACAGTATCTATGTTGTAAAAGTTTTTACCGCTAAAAGGGGAAGGTTACCGGAGAAAACTACCACCCAGTATATCGATTTGACTAAAGCTTTAAGAAATAATACGCCATAATAGTCCAAATAAATGTGCCAAATTTTAACGCGATCGTTAATAGGTTATGAAGTTATTAATTAAATTAGTTTCATTTTTGACAACTTTGAAGGTCTGTACTGAACTCAAAAACCAAAAATTTTTAATTTAATTTTTTTTAGATCATATTTATTTATCGTCGTGAATATGCAGTCAAACTTTGTCTGTGAAATTAGCGGACACCCTGTATATCAATTACCAACGACAAAATAAATTAATCATTGTTTTCCAGAGTTGTGACAGGGTATGTGCATGATACAGATATTTCATGAAATAGAGTTTTGATTGAATAGAACTGTTGATTTTCTACTTTTGTTTCGAAAGATTTGGTGGAAAAATAATATTCGTGTTGAATAATAATGTGTTTGTCGCACGTTCATGGTAGGTACGAATAAATGTAGGGTTATTAAATTCAAGTCTGCACTGCATATTTTTCTCTTTTTTAATCTCGAACATACTTTTCTACAATGGCTCTTTCGCGTTCCAATAAAATTGATTATAGAAACATATTTTCAGGTTTATTTCCATGCTCCAGAAGACGTTCCTTTTATCAATTCAGATCCCGATCAAAGGAAAGATGTCATGTTGGGTGAATCCGTAAATATATCTATAGATGTAAGAATGTGGGTGTATTAGGATAATAATAGTTTTAAATTAAAATGTATTTTCAGGTTATTGAAATTGAAAATGACGACAACGTTAAACATCTACCGGTTTGGAAAAGAGCATGCAAATTTCCGTGGGAGAATGATGGCGTGTTTGTGCATGACTATTACAGTTATTCCACTTGTGTCGTTCAGTGCCATGCAGAAAATCATTTTAGACTTTGCAACTGTACACATCATTTAATGCCCTACTATAGTAAGTAAAATTAATGAATGTCATTTTTTGATTCGTGTATGTGTAAATGGAAGTTCCCTCCTCTTTGTTGGTGGGGCAAAGGGTAACTTTAAAATCTTAAATAGGAACTCCTATTTGTTATTACAGATTCAGATTCTATGGCTAAAAGTACGTAAATATTTTTTTCGATTCGTGATAGTTGGCGCTGTAATCGACATTCAATTTTTTATACTTTTGCTACTGAGAACTTATGCATGCGATTCTGTAATACATTTGCAATAAAAAATGCCACGTTTTCACTGTAAATAATCAAAATTAGTCTTAAAATAAATTTTATTTCTCAAATTTTAAATTAGGTACTGAAAAATCACATGTCAAGAAACTACTACTATCGTAACCAAGGAAGAGACGCCCCTTTTGGGATAGTTACCCAACGCGATATACTTCGCTTATGACTTATCGGAGTGCTTGATTAAATCTGTTTTCAGATAATGTAGCTTTTTGTATTTTGTTTAAGAAACACCATTTCTTTTGTTAAAAATATTTCTATAAAAATGTGTTTTTATTATATTTACATTTAATGTTTGTGTTATTTCTTTCTTCGAATTTTTTGTAACTGCAAAGAAAAAATAAACGTAGGTACAAAAAAGGAAATAACTTTAAGAAACAACTCATTTTAATCAAGCACCCTGAAGGAAACAGAAAGCTACTAGGTCCACGGAGTGTTCCTGGGTTACATTACAAGTATTTTATTACTAGCCGTTTACATTTCTACAGGTAACAATTTTCCAGTTATTCGAAATTTACAAAATGAATAAACTTTTTTACGGCGATTTTCAAGTATGTATTTATATAAAACATGGTATTTTTTTATTGCAAACACATTTTAGAGTCGTATGCATAGGTTTCCAGTAGAAGAAAAATGAAAAGAAGAGTTTCGTTGATTACAGTGTGATTACAAAATGTTTCAGACAAACCCTACATATTTTTACCTGTAAAATCCGAATTTACAATAAAAAATAGAGTGTATTTCCTCTGTGAATATATTAAATTTTGATTATTGATTTTTTTTTCGTAGAGCATCTATTTTTTGATATTTGAAATTTTTTGGTTAAAAAAATTACACGGTATATTATTAAACTTTACATATAATCAGAAATAATATAAAAATTATAATTAATATAATCAGTGCCAAAATAGCGGATGGACTTTGGTCTTCAATTTTTGATCTATGTTTTTACATTTTTCGCGAATATTAAATTGCACAGATTTTTTACACATGATTGGAGTTCCTAGGATGGCTTTCTTATTTTTCAAGCTTCAAATTTAAACTATGGCTATTATGTAATTTTTTTTTCTAAAATACTGTGTAACTGTGAGTTTACAACAAACTGTAGAAAATGATTTCTTATGTCAAAAAAAAAATATTTTCCTTTTAAACAGTTGATTTATAGGGTTCTTTAAAAATAGGATGTGGGAAGTGTACATAATATAAAGAATTTTACTTGGGGAAATAATTAGGGTAAATGTGGGAGAAATGCCGCGATGGGAAAGATGACACAATGCTCATCGACAACACTGGCTTATTCTAACAAGAGTATCTATTGTATATGTGATCAGTGTGTGGTTAACTGTAAAAATAACAACAGGTCGTTGAAATTGAAGATTTATATCAAATACTATTTGAGGTGTTTGTCGAAAAACACTTGGGTAAGTAACGAAAATTTTGGAATATATTACATAACTCGGTGCACCCGTCAAATTAGTTGATATTTCAAAAGAATTCCTACGGAAGATAAACGCTGGTTAAGTAAGGTTATGTCTGCGTAGCCTTTCATTGTTGCCGCGATAACGGATAGTAAGATATTCATTGAGGCGTCTCTACCATACATTGGGTGTAGATGCCACAAAGAAATGTGGTAGAGTTGACGCACTAAATATATATTTTCTTATAGGACAATATGTTTTATAATAAGTTTCTTCAAACCTTTGAAGACCTTCTTTTACCAAGCTTGTGATCAGTGGATTAAAATACACCAAGATAGAAGACATACTCGCCTACAGTTTGGTAGCCTATTAAACAGCGCATGGTCTCGTGCAGCTACAAGTGGAACAGCTGTAAATGGTTTTCGTGCTGCAGGTGCTTTTCCTCATAATCCACAAGCTATACCAGATCACGCTTTTATAGTATCAGATCTTCAAATTGCTGGCTTATAAAATACTGAACAAACGGAACCATCTTATGTAACTTTAGAATCTGGCACAACAGAGAATAAATCTACGTTACATTCGTCTGGATTAAACGTTATTTCACACAATTCATCTAATACATACCTACAAAACCTGTTCCTTCTACATCAAAAGAGTATGACACTACTCCAGGGAAGCTGCTTCAACATATATCACCGATTCCTGTAATGTTAACTTCTAAAAAAGTAGGAAGCTAACTGCTGAACATTTGACAAGTCCAAGCTACATTGAAAAAAAGAAAATAACTGCGACAAAATTAAAAAAGGCAAAGAAAATACAAAATAAACCAAAACTGAAAACATTAAAACGAAAGCGTAATAAGCAACCACTGTCACCATCCGAGTCTGATGAAGAAATGTCAGTCCATTCTTCAAGTAGTGAGATGAGCAGTATAAATGAAAATGAATGTGCGGAGTGTCTTGAGTTATACGAGTCAACTGCTTCAAAATCAGATTGGATTCAGTGTATATGATGTGTACGATGGTTACACGAAATGTGCACAGTATATAAAACCACCTGTAATCCATGTGGAAAATATTTGTTGAAAACGGCTCAAGTAAAAAAACATTTAATGTAACTTCCCATAAGCCACCTCACCCAACACGTATGCGTCAACTCGCCCACCCCATGTAGGAGAGATGGCCGAATGTATAGGTGTAAAAGATATATTTTTATTCAGTTAATTACTTTCATATTAAAAATTAAAATGTGTTTGTTTGTTAATAAATATTTCTAAATCATGTTTGTCTTCTCAATTTATCCTGAACTTGTTTTTAACAAAAGTTGTACTAAATATTCAAAAAACTGCAGCGTCTCTCCTACATTTACCCTAAGTAGAATCCCGCTAATAAAAGTTATTATATTTTTTTCGAAATTCCAAACTAATTTTATTTTCATTTAATACATATAATAATTTGGACACAAATTTAATCACTTTAATTTCTTTGTGTCGACAGTAGTAGCAGTCACAGTAGCTTCAGTTGAAAACAACTCTTTTATGAAGGGGACAGAAACGCAATCTAATAATTTGGGACTTTTCTTAATGATAAAGCTTTTGCCTCCTAATTCGTTTATGCGGTATTCTTTCAATTTCCTTAATAAGTTAAAATTCTGTTTCTGCGAAATTTTATTTTGTTAAATATGTTGGTGAAATGACGAAGCTTTATTGTTTCAGAACTTTATGTTTTTCAAAGACGGTATGTAAAAATTCATTAAAATAAAATTTTAATAAAGACGTAGATGCCCTTACATGGATACCGTTTCGTGAAACTTTTGGTAGTCTTACACTGAATTGCTTTGTCACTCCCTCAATAAAAGTGGCATTGCTCATGATAGAAGAAGAATGGAATAGAATATTCATTAAGGAGACAAACTGTCGCTAGTACTGTTTGATCACGAGCACTCATATTACAGAATCTACCTAGGCGTTTTTCGTATTTAATACATAGTTTGACAATGACATGAATGCAACAACGGCACCAAACAAACTGGTAGTTAAAGCACTTCAAATGCTGCAGTTGTACTGTGTGATGCAAAAACAGTCTGTTATGTGTGAACAGTTTCGTAGTCTCTTGCACTTGCAGTTTGAACGGGTACCTGCAGTATGAAAAGTTACATGCTGCTCGCTACTTTTGGGATACGTGTGAATGCAATATGAAACTTTTGTAACCGAAACTCTTAAAATGCGCAGCAAAAGTAGATGTGTCTGCTCTTACCTTTAGTATTCTCCTAAAATTTATCGAAAAACTAGCTTTTGATGCACTAGGTATTGTAATGGGTAACAATAAAAAAAATGATTACATTTTCTCATTTGACATAGAATTTACAATATAACGGAGGACAGCAGCTATAACATTAACACATTTTTATGTATGGATGTGAATGCAATGGATTAGATGTTTATATCTAACGATTACTTTTCAGACAAAAGAAGTTACTGCTACATCAGAGGATTGAAATGCTTGACTGATAATTTCGGTAAATTCTAACAAGCTATTAGTAAACTATTCCAAGTTAATGTTATCCATATTTCAGAGACGGTAAACAGACTCCATGCTAAAGGTTTTGATAAGCCAGGATTAGTTTGCGATTGCTTGCCTTCATGCGTTGAGCCCGAATACAAAGTTATTGTAGATACAAAGGGGTAAGAATGACAAGACATAAAGGTATTATAGGTACAAGTATTTGAGGAAACGGGTAGAAGTCTTTTCACTCCAGTACCTAACAAGAAATTCATTGTTGGTTGTGATAGCCCGATGAAACTGAAGTGTATGTTAGTTTATGCTATAAAAACACTGTTGTGAACATACAAAACCACATTTAACTCTAAATTTGATTGTCACGTACTTGTATTATTATCTCTTCTATTATTGAACACGCATCTTTTGCAACATGCATATCCTCAGTTGGATTTGTATCAAATTCCGTGAAAAAATATTAATTAAATTTTGAATTGGTGATCCTCAGTAAGAGAAAAATTGAATTGATCATTAACTTTGTATTGTATGAAAACGAAAAATGTCTTAACCATGGAGCAATGAAAATATTGTATTACAAACGACAAAACGAGGACAAAATATAGTAGTATTTCATTTTGTTATCTCTCTTGATTTTATCCAGATGACATCAGAAAAAAGTGTTAATTGCAGTCTTTAGTGGGTAATCGGGCTATGAAATAATAAATAAATTAAATACAATTTTCAGTAATTGGCTCCTTTTAAATATGACTTATTATTAAATCAAAAGTATGTAGAACCAATGGACAAGAACTAAGGCAAGGAGATTAGTCCCTAAGGAATTAGGAACTGTGATGGATGATATTCGAAAGCAATATAATAAATGTATAGAATAAAATGAAAATTTGGGAGGTATTTAAAAAATTTCATACTCAGACAATATGTTAGAACGTGCCGAAATCTCAAGGAGTTAATAAATGGTAAAAAAATACTATCTAACAATATCGGGTGATATTATGTGCATGATAGGTATATGCCCTGGCTAGCTATTTCCAATTTAATTTAATAAATAAAAAAAAAACTTATAACTACAAATAAAACAAGGAGGCAGTGCCTTTTCCAGGTTTTAAGGCCAACTAATTACAATATTTTGAAATAGGGCGGAGTGCCCTTTTTCGCTTCACCTGGGAACTCGAAAACCACAAAAGAGTTCCCAAATCTAACTGATTAAGTAACAATTTATTTCTATTCTTTCGGGATTGTTCTCTTAGAATCAGAGTGGAAGGAAATATTCAAGAGATTTTATTTGTGACGAAACAATATATTAAAGAAAATTTTAAATAGCAGGTAGCATTTCTCCATAAATTACACACATTTGCCACAGAATATCAATTAGTATATTATGATTACACCAATCAATGGATATCCACGACCTGGTTTACATGGGGTAAAGTTGTATGAAATATTATTTAATTTAATTTTATGAGTAGTGGACTATTTAATGCTAGTTTAGTAATTAAGGGAAGAAAAGTAAATTTGAGTAATTCTTAAGACTAAAATTTATTGTTTTCCTCACAACTAGGGGTGGTACTTAGATAATACATCACAGGGGTACTAGTATTAAATATGGTGGTTGATAAGTACCAGTTAATAGTATAGTAATTCAAATAAAANTTTATTGTTTTCCTCACTACTAGGGGTGGTACTTAGATAATACATCACAGGGGTACTAGTATTAAATAAGTACCAGTTAATAGTATAGTAATTCAAATAAAAATAATAATGATAGTAACAACGATAATTTGACATCCACTTATCTGGCAAACATCCAGAGCGTTGGTTCCAGAGGGATCTAGTTGAGTAAGGGTGAATGGTATTCAACTTGAGTGATGAAAGGTAAGTATTCTTCCACGTGGTGGAAGACAGTGGGTGGAAACAGCCCACTAAAACTGCAAATAATTGGTAAGATCTTAGGCCCTCAAGGGAGGTTACGTAATCCTATTCTGACACGTGTGGTAGGAGTAACCTTGGTGGGGAAAAAGTAGTCCCACAAAAAAAACGCTAGAGATATAAAAAGGCATTAACTAACGCCCCAGCACATGAATGAAAGGTTAACAATAATTGGTACATACCTCCTCTGTAGAGGGTTTTCTGATTATCAGGAGATGGTAAAACGGCGTAGATGGTGACACACTATAGAGGGAAAACCTCTACCGTGGAAAATTATTTTCCAGGTGCTGGACAAGTGATGCTGACGACACAAAATTCCTAAAAGGCTATACTTTTAACACCAAATAACTGCAATAAAAGTATAAATTTCTGTCAAAGCACTTTAAATCCCAAATTAGGGTGATTCTAACTTTCACAAAAGAGCTTGTCCACTTAGTCGTGCACACTGTTTTTCCAGAAGTCTCGAATCTATTTTAAAAAAGTCTTGGAAGGAAACAATAAAGATACCAACAGAAAAGAAAATAATAACCTATAATTTCCGGTATACCAATCCACTAATCCATTATCAACACTCAAGGGAGGGAATTAGGTAAATAATAAATAAATAATGAGTTATAGGAGTATATAAATAAAATATATTGGCGATACGATAATATGATAGAAAACACGGGACAAGCAATTTTAATACTTAAAGATACCTACTTTGTTTAGAACACCTTTTTATCTCGTGGTTTTTATAAATTTTACTGCGCCTATGAACGGTGAACTAGGCATGAGGCCGAATAAATTTGGTGATTTATTTCACTTTCCGAATCGCTATACGATATTTAAATAGGCAACTCAAAATACTTAGGTATAAAGTTATTTGTATGTTTCATGAAAGAATTAAAATGTTTTTATGGTTACGCCGTTATCAGCAATTTTTTGTAATTCGTAATTATAATAATTAAATGGTTCATATATTAAAATTGAAAATTATTATTGAATTTGTCACTGAACATTAAAAAGAGCGCATTTGTGAACATTTTAAATGTTCGTTTAATTTATTTATGATTCCATTCACCCCTATTTAAGTAGAATATAAATGATAAGAACATTAATATTTATTTTAAAATTAGCAATTAATATTACTTTTTTTTATTAAATTTGGTATAAACCAGTGGGAACGATACAGAATTCAATGGTATAGTTAGATTTTAAATAACAGAAAAATGCCAAGTAATTTATGTTAAATTTGACAAAAGATGTAATAAGTAGACGTTGACAAAAACTGTCTTGAACAAAAAAGCATCATATAATAATTAGGTACCTCTTTTTCAATAGTATATTATTTAACGAGCGGTAATGCAGGTCATAACTCACGCAGATGAAGTTTGCAGCACGAGCCGCAGGCGAGTGCTGTAATTCATCAAGTGAGTTATGACCATTACCGCAAGTTGAATACTATACTTTATCTACGACTACATTTTCTGTATATTTTTATATACACCTTTATACCTACTTGTTTTTTGATTTTTCTGGTAATAAATTCTGTATTGCATTATTATTACTTCTCTTATTTCAGGTGTACATAATAACTCATCTTCGCTATCTAAATTTATCTTTTTTAGGACTATTATTAGAAATTGATTTGAAAACGTCAAAATTATTTTGTTAAAATATCAAATGACATTAGTCCCCTCAATGATAATAATTGACAGTTCCGCCTACTGAGAAGCGTTGGCAATTTAATAATTTTAAAATCTTTTAATTATTCATTCCTTTCCACTTGTTAAAAATTCTTTCCATTTTACACCAATGGAACGTATTTATCGGCTTAAAAATTTCCAAGAGTTTACTGCGTACACTATTTACATACCGAATTATCATTGTAGAAGCCCAGCGTGAGTTATAATAACTCACTATAAAAGCTCACGCTACTTGTTTATTGATACTATTAATTGCTCAAAAGCAGTTGAATAATTAATATATAAATTAATAGGAGTAGATAAATATATTTAAAGCGTCTTTAGTTAGTTCTGTAAATGCATTATCTATTTTACAGAACTTTTACGTGCGCGTTGTATACAGAACAAGATGTTTTCTAAATGCAACTTCATAATTAAAAAGTTGTTCCTTAGTCCGTTTTAGGTCAAAACGTATTAATGCACCAAGAGTCTAACTAAAGCCATTGCTTTCTGAGACAGATGAGCTGAAGATATCAAAAATATTAAATATGTTTAAATCACGATGTTTGACGCAACTCAGACTAATAATTTAATCAATTAAATATAAAAATTAACTGAGACAGTACAAATGTATCTGAGGCGGAGATAGCATATATACCGTAAGCAAAATTGGACCTACTTTCACTCAAATTCAGTCAATAATGTATCAATTTTAGTTCAAATACACTGTAAAAAAAATTCACTCAAATTTCACTCAATTTTACTCAATAATGTATTAATTTCTGTCCACGCCCGTTTGAGTGAAATTGTAACTCTATTGGTATGAGTACAACTGAGTGAAACTATTGCATTGGAAATGAGTGTGTTTTACTCAAATCCGAGTGACTGCTAACTATCAATTGAGCGACTTTTGACTCTATTCTGAGTGTATAAAACCAATTTAGAGTTGACTTTTTCCCTAATATGATTTAAACTTAACTATTATTGACTCATTTTTATTCAGACTTGGTTTTTAATTAATGATTAATTAAAGTATAGTGTTCAAATTAATTCACTTCGCGGGGCCTCCTCCTGTCCTGGCTGACACGCGCCAGCTGAGACCCGCCGCGCCGCCGCCGGCTAAGGCCTGTTCTCTTGGCGATCACGCTTTTCTGGAGCATCTAACGGGCCCCTATCAATTGTGGTCGAGATTACAGAAGCAATATGTAAGTGGTGCCATCTTTATGGCGACATTCAGATTACTCGAAATTAATATCTATACATTTAAACTAACTCAGTAATGAGGACATTTACTCTGATTAGGTACAAGTGCACCAAAACCGAGTTCACGTGAAGAATTTATTTAAGGAGTACCTATATTTGAGTGAAAGTACTCAGTTCTAGTTTAAATATAATCACTAATGAGTAAAATGATCAAAATGCCCAATATTGAGTGAAAATGTACTCAATAATTTCACTCAATGGATTCACTCCGAACTTTTATTGCTTTCACTCACACCGATTTTTTTACAGTGTATTATCAAAAATGTGTAAAATTATCAAAATGCCCAATATTGACTGAAAATGTACTCAATGGATTCATCAGGTACCCACCTTTTTGCTTTCATTCAGACCGATTTTTTTACAGTGTAGTAGTTTTTTCAGCACCTTTGCCTCTGGTTGTCGTATTTGTGTACCATTTCAGACATTTTTTAGTATTGATTAGTTAATCGATGAGTCTAAGTTTATCAGTCTAACTGCCGGTTTATCAAAGTAAAATTAACTATGATTTAACTTGTTCGAATTTGGTTGCTAAGGTATGACACTTGATTAGCTATTGCTAAGGGGTTTAGTTATATCAAGGTCCCTAAAATAAACTTTTTCAGAAATTCAGATAATACTGCCTTTAGCCGTATCAACTACATAAAATGTCGATCAGCGAAATATGGTCATATTAATCTTTTGTTGCACAGCTCTGGCTATCAGAAAACATGTGGGGTTTCTTGGCCCCAAACGTGACTAGGCCAGTGCCTAATAGTAAAAATTCCTTGCCTTGTAAATGAATATCGTTCGGCCTAAGAATATTTCATAAATTATAGATCTTGTTGGATATACTCAAACAACTATTTACAAAATTCCCTTCTATACGCAAAGTTCCTTTTCCGTAAAATTCTGTATGCTATGATATTCAATAATGAAGGAAACTCACTTTTGACAAATGATCCTCTTCATGATACTATTCCTGTTAATAGCACTTTATAGAAGTAACATTGGAATTGAATACAAAAAGGAATATATAATTAATATACTCGGACTACTCGGAAATTTTCTGGGTAGTTTTTCACAAGGTTGAATAATATACCTACCTTTAAAATGACTTTTCTATTGTCGAGTTCTAATAACCTATAGTCGAAAAAATATGTTTTTTTATCTTCATCACATTTTGTCTTCAAAACAAGTGGTTTATATTATGAAAAGGACCCTGCAATACCCTTCTACAGGGTGTTGCATGACGTACTGAACAAACTTAAGGAACAGGTCCCTAAGGTCATTCTGAATGGGTTCATGGGTTCAATACTGTTTTAATATCAATCTCGCTAGCTATGAATACGTTAAGTTGGCAAAACAAGTGATAGTTGATGTCAAAATTTATAAGCTCAGTTTATGTAGTTTATGAACGTGTTTCTGGTAATACCTACCTTTTCGGCCTGATCTGTTTTCAAACGAAGATTATGTCGACATAGTCTACATTTATGGAGAGTCTTAATGACGATTTCCAGACAGAAGAGTGTCAAATCGTCAAACATTTGATTCTGTGTTTCGACATCGGAGAATGCATGACCAAGAAACTTCTTCCTTAAGAACATCATGCAACACCCTTTATGTAAGAAATGACTATATTTGTAGAAGTAAAAACCTTTTAAGTTTTTTTTTTATATTTTCGTATAACTAAATTTTTTCATCAAGATAGAGTTTACTAATAAAATATTTATTAATTTTCTCAAAATAATTTCAGTTTCGAAAAGCCGCAGCGCCACAGCAAACTTATAAAGCCTGTAGCTTTCCTGAGGAGTTCCACATCATGAATATTAAACAATTAAACCCTTTTCCTTGTACAAAGAAACTTTTTGGCCTCCTTAGTTCGATTTCAGGATATAGAAAGGGCATGTCTTAAAAGAGACTCCGAAAGGATACAAAAGAGATCAGAGTTGTATACTGACAATGTCTGAAACGACTTGTTTAAACTCCTCTTAAAGTGTTAGAAAATATAGGTACTTGATTACAAATAATTGCAATAACACTGCATTAACAAAGCCAAATTTTTAACTTAAAAACATATCTTGATATTGAATACAGAATTACCTATATATAGCCAAATCGTCACTTTTAATGCTCATATAATTGATGACAGACACCAGTAATACACTTATCAATAGTTGTACAACTGTTCTACAAAAATAAAATGATTTATTAATTTTTTGATATTAACTGAAATAGTGTAGTTCTGCCTTTTTCGACAGATTTTGATCAGATTATGTTTTATTCTCAGATTTTATTTTGTAATAACTTTTTAGTGATGTATTTGCCAGATATATGTGTCATATATACTACGTTTTGTTTTGGCTGAAAACTCCATGCAGAACTGAAATAAAAACTTCTGTAACTGTAATTTCAAATTCAATGGTAATGCTAATCTGTGTTTTATAGGGTTAAAACTACTCAAAGCGAAATATATATTAAAATGCAGTCGCTACCAACTTCTAGATTTAAACGTATAGTTGTAAGAACGACAATGGACCTAGTTGGTAAGTAAAAATCAATACCAACTTTAGAAAATAAGATCGCTATTATTTCCTTCCTCATGTAGTTTGCAATTTTCAGTGAGGCGAATACGAAACGTTTGTTTTGTTCTAAGGTTTACCTATTTTTGTTTTACAACGTAATAACAACAAAGTAATACTCTGTTGAAACTTAAGTACCTACCTATGTAAGGTACAATAATCTGAAGCGATTTTCTAGAAAGAATAAACACGATACTCTTTCCTTTCACAAAAAATACATTCTACAAAACGATAAATTACACTTTTGTATTTCAAGACAACTGGAGAAAATTGTAGTGTTTTTTTATATTCATAGGTCCAATATTCAGTAATTGAGTAAAATACAGAAAAATATTCAAATTCGTTGTTAAAAACAATCTTGTTATTACAGAATATTGTAATTATAAAATTATGAGCATTGAAAATATTTTTTATTTAAAATCTAATTCGATGTAGAATTTTTATTGTTAAAACTGTTACAATTAGTAGTAGGTACTTTTTTTTATGAAACAACAATAAATTATATTTTAAATAATGATTTTATTTATAAAATGTAACAAAATATTGTTTACATTTCTACATTTATATTTGCAAGGGAACAAATATTTTAACTAGTTCACCATTTTTTCTCAATTTTTTTTTTTTCATTAATTTGGGACAGAATCCGTCACCAACATTTTTCTAAACGTTATTGTTTGTCCATAATTATTCAACTAATTTGACTTACTATGTATCACTAACGACGATTTAATTATTTCACTTACTACTACATTACTTTGTATTAAGAAAATTTGAGAAAATATGTAAATTTATAATGAGATAAGAAACAAATAAGAATTTGTAAGACGCACACACACACACACTTTTTCCAGATATGTTTCCATTTTGCGAAGCTGTCCTGAATAGCTTCAGTTGAAAAAATGATCTACACACACACACACACACACACACGCACGCACGCACCTATCCTTTAAAGTCTAAAACGAATTTGTTTTGATGTCATCATTAGTCTGAAATTGACGTCCTTTCACCATTGATTGATTTTAATTTCGGAAATAAGAAAAAATCTCAAGGAGGACGATAAAGATGGCGAGGGAGGAAAATAATCTGATTTTTGGCATAAAACTGACGAATCGACAAAGCTGGCTGTGTGGGCGCATTGTCATACTGCAAAAACCATCAGTTGTCCTGCCACAACGCTGGTCTCTTTTTTGCAAAATTTTTCATGTAACCATTGTAAAACACCTAGATAGTACATGGTTCACTCTTTCACCTTGAGGCAAGGATTCAAAATGCACAATTCCATTGAAGTCGAAGCATCACTTTGTCATTGGATCGAGACTGACGTATTTTTCTAGGGCGTGGGGATCTTTCGCCAATCCATTGTAATGACTGATCTTTTGTCTCATCGTCGTAGTCATAAACCCAGCTTTCGTCTCCGGTTATGATCCTTTAAATGAATGTTTTATCGTCAGTGGATTGTTCAAGGAGATGCCGACAAATGTCTACACGATTTGCTTTCTGTTCGGTCATCAAACGAACAACAAATTTTGTTGAAACTCGAAGCATGATCAATTTTTAAATCAAAATTTCACGACATGAACCAATTGAGATGTTAACCTCTCTATTTCTCTGACAGTCAATCGGCGATTTGCACACGCTAGACTTTCTGAATGTGGGAATCATAAGTTGAAGTCGAAGACCTTCCTGGTCGAGGATCAACTTCAGTCGACTGATAAAAACTTTTAAATCATGAAAACCATTCATAACATTGCGTACGATCCAAAGCATTATTTCCGTAAGTTTATTGAAGCCAAAATTTCATTCAACCATTCAAACATTTCCGTGAAAGTTTTCCACAGTTTCACCCAAATTTTTGCGTTGCATCGTTGTTCTAGAAAATTGTACATTTCAAAAATCGTTACTAACACTTAAACACGTTGGACTCAAATAACAATATCACGAAAACTAACTCAGACATCAACAATACAAGAACATGTGGGTACAGAGGAGGTTATGCGCAACGAAATGCTGCCAACCACATATCACTAAATATTTCCATTAGCACGTATGTAATTAAACAAATTCGGTTATTTTCTTAAGAGACCTCGTATCTATGTATTTGTAGAGATACCTAACGAATTTTTAGTGGAACGTAAGTTTATTTTGCTTTATAAATTTTTGTTTCACGGGGCTTAGTTGTCGAGATACAGGGCATTAAAATTTTGAAAAGAAATATCTCTCGTTATAACTCAAGGTGTATATATAAACGGATTTTACTGAATTTTGCCATAAGCAAGGTCTTTTGTTTGGTATAATATTAGTTCCATCCCTTTCCGACAAATTAATTGGTGTCTGGCAGATAATTGGATGGGTCCGTTATCACTTATAAAAAAAGGTAATCCTTATGTAGGATCATCGGTAGGTTAACATAAAAAAAGGAAAATCCTTGTATAGGATCAATAGATTTGTCACCTGTAACCTGAGTGGTTATTTCTTTATTTATATGTCTACCGCTATGACCAGTATCACACGGTATCAACCGACAAAAGAGTTTACTATTAATTTCCCGAAAGGGAGTTTATAATAATTATCATTACACTTTAATTACTACGTGGGAACTTAGAAATGTTGTACGTACAGAGAATGAATTCCAGACACTTACCGTACGTCGCTCATGTACAAGGTAATCCAGTGGTTGGTTGTACAGGGTGACACTTAAGTTGGAAGAACAAGAAAACACCAAAACTTTCCAGGAAGGGTTTTAATAACAATAAAAACAAAACAAACAAACAAAATAACGACACAACGGGCCCGAAAAACATTATTAATTCATTTATTGACACGCGACAGCGTATCGAGATTCAGGGAATGCGCGATCCATAACAAAATTTGGAATGACTTATAATTAAATTAACCCGAGGCTCTAAAACTAAGTGGACTGCTCAATGTGGAACCCAAGGAAAAACTGCCTTTTTTTCGGAGATCTCTGCTGAATTCGACACTTCGCTTCGACACGCCCATTTCTTGGGTCCACACGTTTCAGTTCTTATCTTATTGGTGGGCTCCCTGAATATCGGGGCGCTTTGGTATAACTATACTATGTTAATATTTACCTAATTGACTGGACTTACATTTATATAAATAATTCTGTGACTAAACTGAAGTTACAAATAACCCTAGCCTTCCTCTAGTGACTCCGTGTAGCAAGCAATACGGGACGAATTAGTCAATCTCATTTAATTTTTTCTTATAGCTTATCCGCCTAAAAACCAGCTATTTGATCTATTACTTTCTTTTCCAATTATTATCAATTTGACAATTTGATTGAATTCTAATTTGGAACCTTTCCGCTTTTCTCGGGTTTTCGCGCGTTATTACAAATAGGTGTCGCCATGTGACAGTCATCTGTTGCGTCCGGGAGGCGCCAGCGTAGTCTGGGACAGAACAAAGAATCCCATATTTGTAATAACGCGCGAAAACACGAGAAAGGCATATGGGTTCCAAATTAGAATTACATCAAATTGTCAAATTGATAATAATTGGAAAAGAAAGTAATGGATCAAATAGATGGGTTTTAAGCGGATTTTCCAAGCTATAAGAATAGATTAAATGAGTTTTACTAATCCGTCCCGTATTGCTGCACGGAGTCACTAGAGTAAGGCTAGGGTTATTTGTAAGTTCAGTAAGTCACAGAATTATTTATATAAATGTAAGTCCAGTCAATTAGGTAATTATTAACATAGTATAGTTATACCAAAGCGCTTCGATATTCAGGGAGACCACCAATAAGATAAGAACATAAACGTCTGGACCCAAGAAATGGGCGTGTCGAAGCGAAGTGTCGAATTCAGGAGAGATCTTCGAAAAAAGGGCAGTTTTCCTGTGGAACCCACATTGAGCAGCCTACTTAGTTTTAGAGTCTCGGGTTAATTTAATAATGGATAAAGTCATTCCAAATTTTGCTATGGATCTCGCATTCCCTGAATCTCTGTACGCTCGCTGTTGCGTGTCAATAAATGAATTAATAATGTTTTTCGAGCCCGTTGTGTCGTTATTTTGTTTGTTTGTTTTGTTTTTATTGTTATTAAAACCCTTCTTGGAAAGTTTTGGTGTTTTCTTGTTCTTCCAACTTAAGTGTCACCCTATACAACCAACCACTGGATTACCTTGTACATGAGCGACGTACGGTAAGTGTTTGAACGTACAACATTTCTAAGTTCCCACGTAGTAATTAAAGTATAATGATAATTATTATAAACTCCCTTTCGAGAAGTTAATAGAAAACTCTTTTGTCAGTTGATACCGTATGATACTGGTCATAGCGGTAGACAGATAAATAAAGAAATAACCCCTCAGGTTACAGAACTTTTGTATTCATCAATGGTCTTTCTAGATTATTAATGAAAAATTTCAGGTCGAAAATTAATTGATTTTCTTATAGCTTTATCAGATATGATGCCTGCACATAAACGTTCGATAAAAAGTAGTAAAGAAGAAACGCAATAGTCGATAAAGCCACATTTTTGGAAGATTTTGGACAGTACTTCCTAAATTTATTACTTGGCTTATTTTTTACAACAAAAATAGGCTCTTTAGACTCTAAAGAATGAAATTAACATTCTACCAATTCTACTTCATTCAAGTTCGTTTATAAATTCCTGAGGTATCCAAAAAATATTCACTATTTCTCTCTCGAGCCTCTCGAAAACTGAGCCCGACCAGAATACGTGTAAACCTTTCAGAATTGAGAGTGAAATAATCCTTTATAATTCCTTTAAAATTAAGAACTTACTGGTTTTCTTCATGTTACAGCAACCTATATACTTAGGTAACCTACTTTGAATAATACATATTATTTCATAAAATGTATACACTCTGTGTTGAATAGGTGTTTAACTTTATTTTCAATGCATCTGTTTTATAAATACTGTAACATGGGAACAAATTTTTCCTAATTTAATATCCCCGCTGTTTTAACGAAATTTATTGTTATTGCAGTTGTATTATTGTATTTACTCATTAAAAGCATTTACAAATGTACTCCGCAAATTTTAATTTAGTACGTTTATGCTGTGTTAAAGCAATTCTATAAAATAGTTTCTGAACAATTTGGTTGGAAAAACTGATTCAGAACAGTCACTATTGTTTCATTAGCAAAATTATGTTGATTATTATTATTATGAGATTGTGACGGATTTTTTATCTATTATGAAACAAACAAAAAACAATAGCAACATTCTTCGATTTTTCATGGATTGAAACTGAAATAGTTTTTGGTCAACTACACTGAGAGAAATGGACTTATTAAAGTGTTTCTCGAGAATAATGTGTATACTGTGGTCATTCTTGATTGAGGATTGTATCTGCCCCAAATTCGACCGTTTTGCTTGTTTACATACCCACGAAGATGGAAAAGATGATTTTTTTAGCAAAATCACCGTCCACATGTTGGATTAACAAATGATCGTCTGGTTTCAATTTCTGGATTAACTGAATCTTGAATTGATCTATTGTTAAAATCACAGGTTACGGGAATTTCCGCCACGCTATCACTCACCGTAGTAATATTTTTGGCTGAACGGCCAGTAGCAGGCCGGTCTGTCTTTTTATTGTCTGTAACCGAATCTGTTTGTTCAAATTTAGTAACTAATTGTTCACAGTTATTCTATTCGGGGTGTTCCTTCTACCGAAAATTCCACATACTTTGCGCACAGTCTCCGCTACACACTCTCCATACTTGTAATGAATTTTCATATTCCTCACTCGCTCATCCATCGTATAGCGCTCCATTTTTTTCTAACCGCAACGTGTTTACTACAACACGTCACCCTTTACAATGCTGCCAACTCTTCGGAATGAAAGTGGCGCACATTTCAAATCCTGCGTTACTTTTGGGACACCCTATATACGAATTTTATTAAAATAAACTCATCTTCATATTCATTATTCAATGGATTATTCAATTAGAAGACGGAGAAACATGAAGACAATGGTGACAATAACAAGTACCTAAGGGTAAAATCAATCAACCAGAGGAAGTAGAACTAGTAGAAAAGAAAATCAGGCTCTTAGGGAAGCTTCATTTCGAGGGTGCAAGAATTACTTAAAGAAATAGACTTAAAAAAAAATAATAACTAATCATCTAAATTACACGGAGGAGGGTTTTTCAATTGAAAAATTTATTTGCCATTGTAGGGAATTTTATTTTATACATGTGGTTTCAAATAAAAGTTTAAGCTATTGATTTTTTCCTAAAATACAAAATGCATGATTAAAAGTTAGAATAATTTTTGCATGAATTCGTATCCATTTGAACGAATGATCAAGAATTTCCATGCATAATAATGTATCGTAAATCTTTGAGAAGTTAGAACAAAATAATCGCTTTTATCATGAATCATACATTCACTGCTGACGATCGCCTATTTGTTATAATTTTTGGACCAATAACCATGTACGGTTCATTTTACGAGAGAAGGAAAAAACAAATGCAGAAGTTTTATTTGGAAAAGATTCATACAAGTCTATAAGAGATTTTTTGTAATGTCAAATAAATTTTTTGCAAATGAAACAGTTTTCGATCAAGTTTTACATTTTTTACAATAATTTGTAATAACTGTACCTACCAAGATGGAAATATACAGGATGTCCCTGAAAAGGATGGACAACGCTTGACCACAAAAGTGCACGCCTACTGAGATATAGCCTTCTAAATATAGAATAGATAACCTATTTTTTTTCAAATAATTTGAAAACTAGTTTTCTTAGAAACTTCAAATTTGGTACACTTATTTTTTTTATATAAGGGCAAGGTAAATATAGAATTTGGAGAGAATACATCTACAGGATGTTCTATTTCTAGTGCCTGTGCGCCACTGGCTATCCTGTAACTTCTTTGTGTGTATGCCAATGGCGGCAGAATTTATATTTTTAAAAATAAGCACTATTTTAGAAGATTTTTTTGCTCTTACAAAATTTCGAGATCGTTTATGGATTTCGAGTAAAATTCGCATTTTTTATACATTAAATAATATAAAATCAGTTTAAGATAAATAGAACATTCTAGTACGAGGTACCATATAACAGAGAAAAAGAATATCTTCAGCAGTTCTTCATTGAAAGCTGTGTTTCATACCCAATCTCTGAAGAATTAGAAATCATTTTAGGAATACTATTGTACTTATTATTTTTTTTTGTTTGAGATGGCCTTGTTAGACCGTGTATGTCACAAACCAAAAACTAAAATACTGTTTTATTAACAGTACAATAAATTNCACATTAAAATAATATTACAGTAAATGCTCAAAGTTACTTTCTTGTTCTTAATCGCAAACATTAGTTCTTCGAAAATTAGAAATCATCAAATAATTGTGCATTACCTCTCATAACATTAATTTCATGTTGTATTCTTTCCCATATTCGTTTTCTGTATTTACTGAAAAGTTATTTTAAACTGTGGTCCTCAACGCTCCCCAAATGAAATAATTACAGGGGTTTAGGTCCGAGAATCGAGGTGGCCATTTTAAAGGGGCACTATTTCCTCTACCTATCCACCTGTTAGACCTTTAATAACCTGTAATACCTACCTGTACCCTGTAATACCGGTAACCTGTAATAACTGGTCTTTTAATACTCTATTAAAGGAACTTTTTGAAAGCCAACCCCTGCCGCTAAACTGAGGAATTTCTTCGACCCTTTCCAAAATTTGTTCCTCCAGCTGAATAATTCCGGCCGTACATCATCCACGATTTAATGTTACAGGTAAAAAACGTCCTATTTCCCGAAGGCGTCTCTCCGCATTAGCAAATGTTTTGTGATTTGGAGTTCTTCGATTAGGAAATCTTTCAGTATGTGTTCGAGCAATAGCACAACAATTTCCTTCACAATAACCCACTAACATATCAGTTTGTTCAGCAATTGCAATAAAAAACAAAGTAAGCTAAAATTAAATCACAGCTAGCTTGACACAGAACCTTTTCATTATTGTTATGAATTTGTTTCTCTGTTATATGGCACCTCGTACTAGAATGTTCTATTTATCTTAAACTGATTTTATATTATTTAATGTGTAAAAAATGCCAATTTTACTCGAAATCCATAAACGATATCAAAATTTTGTAAGAGGCAAAAAATCTTCTAAAATAGTGCTTATTTTTAAAAATATATATTCTGTCGTCATTGGCGTACATACAAAAAAATTACGGGATAGCCAGTGGCGCACAAGCACTAGAAAGAGAACATCCTGTATATGTATTCTCACCAAATTCTATATTTACATTGCCCTTATATAAAAAAATATGTGTACCAAATTTGAAGTTTCTAAGAAATACAGTTTTCAAATTATTTGAAAAAAACTAGTTATCTGTTCTATATTTAGAAGGCTGTATCTCCGTAGACGTGCACTTTTGCATATAGGTAAGTTAAGCTAAATAGTCTTGTTTTCATCCAAGGAACCTGTGGTCAAGCGTTGTCCATCCTTTTCAGGGACACCCTGTATATTTCTATATCTTCAGCGGTTCTTCATTGAAAGCTCTGTTTCATACCCAATCTCTGAAGAATTAGAAATCATTTTAGGAATATTATTGTACTTATTATTTTTTTTTTGTTGGAGATGGCCTTGTTAGACCGTGTATGTCACAAACCAAAAACTAAAATACTGTTTTATTAACAGTACAATAAATTGTTTGACTAGTTTTGCAGGACATAACGTAAACTATTTTGTGTTAACAACTTTTGAGAGCCAATGAGAGTGAAAAACATTTTTAGTTTTAAATTTATTTTATTTCATTGTGATTTGAAGAAGTAAATTGTGTCACCTTGATTTAAAACACAACGAGGTATTTTGAGTTCGTATTTATACATCAAAATTGCAAAAATCGGATTATTGACAAAAATGTTACTAGATTAACTTGGTTTCTAAATGTTAGAATCTAAAGGTTATTCAGTTTATATTAACTTTTACTTTTTGTTGAAACATGTAAACACCATATAACAAGAATAATTTCAGCTTCGAATTTCATGTTTAGAGCTTCTGCTATCAAAATAAAGTCTAATATTCTAAATGAACTAAGCTTCTAATTATTTCCAGATACCTACTTATATACAAATAATATATTGTTTTCATTTTTTAGTGTCAATTGGAGGAATTGCCGGATTATTTATTGGAGCTTCACTTTTGAGTATTGTCGAAATATTGTATTTGTTGTTTATAAGAAAAGTTAAATAGGAATTGTTCGATACTGTTGAAAATTAAATAAACATGATAGTGTATACCTACTTGCTCGTTTTTGTACAGAACAGTTATTTTTTTCCTTTAAAATTATTGGTGCTTTTAATTGTTACAACAGTTACTGCTTTGGAACATGCAAACACAAATTGCAATTCTTGCAATATTTTCTTCCTAAAAAAGATATCAATTATGATGAACCTATAGTAAAATATTTTGGGCGTCATATGTGTAAACAATTTATAAGAGGGAAACCTATTGCATTTGGTTATAAAATTTGGAGCATAAATACTAAAAGTGGATACTTGGTCAACTTCATGCCATATCAGGGTTTGGACTCCCGAATTAGTGCAGAATATCAAGACGTTTTTGGAAAAGCTGCGGCACCTTTTTTAACTATGCTAAATGAATTACCAGACACCAAAAAAAATTACGATATTTCTTCTACTTTGACAATCTTTTTACCAGTTTAAATTTACTCAATAATTTAATAGCTTTAGGTTATGGGGCGACAGAAACCACCAGAGACAACCGAATTCCAAAAAATTGCCCCATACTTTCCAAAGTTGGCATGAAAAAGAAGGCACGAGGGGAATATGTACGTATCTTGGATAAAACAAATGGTATATTACTTGCCAAATGGGCAGATAATAATATTGTTAGCATAGCATCGACGAGGTTTGGCATAAATCCTTTAGGATCGAACGATCTTCACAAGCCCTGAAAAAAAAATGTTCATATTCCCAGACCTTTGCTTATTGGGTGGCACAGACCTAATGGATGAAAACATCTCGAGATACAGGATTGGAATTTGTTGCAAAAATGGTGCAATTTGTTTACATGGCTAATTGATGCTACTATTCAAAATTCATGGATTCTGCATAAAAAATCTGGTAGTAGCCTCATCCAGCTACAATTTAGAAGAGAAATTGTGAACAATTATCTTAGAAAATTTCAAAATCCACCGAAAAAAGGTGGTCGACCATCAACAAGTCTATCCAGTAGATCATCGTCTTGAGTTTCTGACGACATCCGTTTTGACAACTTTGATCATTTACTTACAACTAATAAGGATGGTAAAAAAGAAGGTGTGCTGGATACAATTGTAACTCTATTATAAGAAGACACTGCGTAAAATGTAATGTTGGACTCTGTCTCAATTGCAATGTTAACTTTCATACATAATTTTAATTAGTTTTAAAATTTTGAAAAATAAATGTTTCTAAGAGCTAGCGTTGCCATATGGCAACATACATACGTTTTTCTAATATGTTTTAATAAAACATTATTTATTTACATGAAATCGATCTTTTATTGCTCTTTCATCAATTGTAATTACAGAAAAACATTAAGTAAAAAAACTCCGCCTTTTATGGGTTAAATTAATAGAAACAAAATTCCTTAAATAAATTAAATAAAAGATAGGTACAAAAAAAGAAATTGTAATTGAAAATTGAGAAAGCATGATAAACTACTGGCATATGTATTTCATAAATTAGAATAGCACATGCAATTGCAAAATAAATTCCTAAAGGCTTATTTTAATTTAGAAATTTAAATAAAAATTTGATAGCAATCACACACAGTTAGTTACCTACTTTGTATAAAAAAAATTATACACAAGCGAGAAACAGCATTCCAGAACTCCCAAGATTGGATTGCATTTTAACAAGAAATTTCAGCAAAAAACATGTCCCTTGTTAAGTATCAGAATTTTCAAAAATATAAATTTGGCATCAATGTGGAAGTCAAAGTTAAAAAATCTACTTCATCTCATACAAATCTGCATATCATATTTTTTTATAAATTCAAATTATTTGAATATTCGTCTGCTTCAATTTTATGTATTATAAAATCTATACATATGAATTCGATACATATGAATTTGATACATAATGTAGATATGATGATAAAAAGTATTTGAGATGTTGACGAATATTTAGTTTGGAATTTGTCTTTATCACTATCAAATGTTATTGTTATAATAATTGAAAACTATTAAAATTTTGAATCATGTTTTTCGTAAAATAAATAGTGTTTATTTTCAAATTTATTTTCTTTTTTTGTGCAAATTACCAATAAATTATTAAAAAAAAATAAAAATGACTAACGTTGGTTTTAAAAAATGTATTATCATAAAATTATCTAGTACAATATAGACGTCAACAATTCAGAGTAAACGAGTTCCTTCATCAGCATATGCTTAAATGCCAACATATTATCCACAGGGACCTAGAAATTAAGCAAATAAAATATGTTTAAGGGAAGTTGCGGATATTTATTCTCACGCTATGTCCAGCTCTGAATATCACATAGAGCAATAAATTATCAACCTGCTTTACGTGTCCTTCAATGTACCCATCCACGCTAAAAGGCTGCTGAGACGCTTCTTTCCATTTGTCCCTGGATTTCCATTTTAAATTTTCAATCCACAGTCTGGTCCCTAAAATGTTTATGTATAACATGAAGTTTACTATTTATTTCATCATTGTGAGTAGAAAAATAAGACGTTTTAAAGGATGTTTCACTTAAAGTGTATAAAACTGAATTATTTTATTATTAGTGCTCGCTTTTAACGTCGTGCATAATATTTTCATAAATATTGTGATTATTGAAGTACTATTTAATGTGTATATTGAAGTATTATTTAATATATAAAAAAAAAATGTATAATGTGTTAGAAAATTAATTAAAAGTGGAACACGTGTTTATAAAAAAACATGACCGATATTGACGCATGCACATTAAAGAAAGTTTTGATGAAAAAGCCTACCTAATATACAAGTTTCATATTTTATTTTTCTACAATAGTACAATAAATGCATCTAATTCACCGTAATATAATATAAAAATAGAAAACTAATACTTACCTGCTGTATTTACCAAGAAATCTAGTGCACCATTGTAGACAATAATTTTTATATCAGTATTATTCAGCAGAAATTCAACTAAAAATAACCACTATTCATCACAAATTTTTGCAGAAATAGTCAGATTACCTCTTTTCGCTACAGATTTTAGTAAGTCCTTGCTTAGACTTTCGTATATGTCATTGTTTAGAAAACTCCACTCCCTGTTTCCTGCAACTCCTAAGTATTCCTTAACAACGGAGTTCATTCTTTCAGTGAACAGTCCCAAATAAGAGAAGAGACCTAAAATATTAAATCGATGTGTACCTATAGAAGCGATTATATTTACAGTAAAAGTGTTTAGATTTTGTTTCAACTTTCTTAGTACCTACACGAAGTTGAGCGGATAACAAATAGTTACTTTACTTCGTATTCTGATTTTTGTTCGTATTATAATAACAATAATAACAAAAATATTTTATTTTAACACTAATAAATAATTTTGTAAATAAATGAAGTTAAATTGTTTTGTTACTATTAAGTGTAGGAATACTTAGTCACATTTAAAGTAGCACAACTTTTCGGGGTTACTATGCCGCACAGTGGGCCCAGTTGGACAAAATTCTGCCGAAAGTACAAGACTAAACCGATTTTCATGAAAATTTTTTTGCATGTTTGTTTTACCTTGAAAAATGACTTATGGGTGCGATAAATTTAATTTGTTATCATTTGACCTTGATAAAATTCGAATTTATCGCACCCATAGGTCATTTTTCAAGGTAAAACAAACATGCAAACAAATTTTAATGAAAATCGATTTAGTCTTGTACTTTCGGCAGAATTTTGTCCAAAGGAGCACACTGTGTGTCGTGGTCTACGTACCTGGTCATGGCCGTCACAGATTTACGATGCACTTCCTTAGTCTTAGCTAGGGATCTTTGACTTGCCCTTGTTGTTTCCGGACTAGGCCTCTGTGGGGAAGGACCCGCTGTCAGCACCACTAGATCCGCCCTAATATTACTTTCGGTTCTTGTTGATGGTTCTACGGCTGCTAAGGACGGAACCACTCCTCAGGCATGGTGATCTCCGAGACATCCCGTAGTGGCTTCTGTAATTGGATGCATCTAATGCTTTCAACCATTTCGCCGTTTTTCATTGTATGCATCTTCAGAAATGACTCTGCAAAAGCTTCGTCGCATCTGCGAGTCGTAACAAGGGCAAATCAAAGCTTAGGCCAAGGAAGTGTATCGTAAGTTTGTAACTGGGGCCCACCAGGTACATAGTCCTCATCGTAGGAATCCGAAAAAATATGCCTTATACACATACAACAGTATAACAGTTATAACAGTACGGTCGTTGAAAGCCTTAAAACCACTTAAAGTCTATCTTGATTCTAAAAGTAATTTTGTGAAATAAATTACTTTCAGTTTCTACAAGTACTCATGTTCTTGGTTGGAGTTAAATCTAAACATCTCAGATTTTAATTTCGACACTTTAAATGTTTTATTCCAATTATCATATTGATTCGTGTTGCAATAGTTACTTATATTTGTTAAATCAGTATTACATGTTGTTGGCTGAAATGCAACATCTTCCCCATTTCAATTCAGGTTAATTTACAGAAAAGGGTAAAAATGGTATTTAAAAAAAATAATACATAAAATAATAAATTAGTATTTTTTTAATCTAGACTTTCTTGACAGAAAATATTGATCTAAAAGTTTTTATTTTTTTAAAATTAAAACAGAAATCATTTACATATAACCTAGATAGGTTTGCAAATAAAGTGGCGCAAAAATTAAAACAAATTCAGTATAAAGTTTAAAAAAAAATTTTTACTTTTCAGCTGACAATATATTTTTTAACCCCAATTTGAAATTCTTAACTTTAATCTAAATGAAAACAAATTTTTAGGAAATACGATGATTGATTCACAAATATCAATATTTTTATCCTATTTATTTTTTCCTAGTTAGTTCTTTTAATTATTAGATTTATTTTAGATTTCATTTATTTACTTAGTTTAATAAGCTTTTCATTTTGTTTTTAAACGAACTTATCCGTATATTATCCTGGATTCCAGAAATTAAATTTGGTATTATTTCCCAAATATTTCTGCCCAATGCGTAGAATCGGTTGACGTCACAACATCTTGATTAAAAAAGAGAGAAAATGTTTACACTGTAAAGTTGTATAGCTAATATTGTGGTAAAAAAATAGGAAAAGCTTAATTTATTTTGAACGCGTTGCTATTTTCATTTTCGTCGTAAGAGAAATGCAGACAAATGCAAAAGGTATGTTGGTATCTATTTCTTAAAGTTTATGAGATATTCGCGGTTGTTCATATTTTTTGTTGCTATTTCCACGTCAAAAATTGTTGCCAGATAATAATGGAATTTTTATAACTATAATGGACTGTAAAAATAAAGTTTATTACCTAACTATGAGAATGACAGTTACAAGAATATGTGATTAAACTTCTTGCAAAAGCAACCATAGTTTTAAAAGAATTTGATGACGTTAAAGCAGTATATGGCGTTTAAAATGCATATTAATAACAAAATTAATAAAAAACAAAAAAAAAATACTAGTAATAAATCCCCAGAAAACAGTCATATTTTATTAGATCGGGGGCTCTAGTTAACCAACTAAGGACCTCATACAATTTATTTATGTAGAATATCTATTTAAATTATATTAAGTATAACTATTTTGAACTGGATACAGTAGGTACTATAATATAACATTCACTTTATTTTAATTTTTTTTCTGTAACGGTGACAATAAATATTAAATCTCGTATACCCCGTAAACTATAAAAAGTAAACTTATAGGTATATTAACAAAATCGAATGGAAATTCAATTTTAAATTAATTTATTCAAAACCTGGAATACCCATAATTGTAACTTTTCTATTTGAAATCTATTAAATGGGTTATGTATAAAATAGCTTTCTTCATCCTCGAACGAGTGGTGAAAACTTCATTTTGCTGTCATGTTTAATTTTGGAGAAACTTGTTATTTGCTACAATTTTTTTTTAACTTGATGTTTAAAGTGATTTGTACAACCTTCATACATATTTACAAGCCATGTCGCCACCCAGCTTAAACAACCCAACATTACACAATTGGCACCGGTAACAAAAATTCCCTGAATCTTGGCATCACCAATATTAATGATTCGTTTCCAATGAACAATGATAAACCTGNGTTGCCAGATAATAATGGAATTTTTATAACTATAATGGACTGTAAAAATAAAGTTTATTACCTAACTATGAGAATGACAGTTACAAGAATATGTGATTAAACTTCTTGCAAAAGCAACCATAGTTTTAAAAGAATTTGATGACGTTAAAGCAGTATATGGCGTTTAAAATGCATATTAATAACAAAATTAATAAAAAACAAACAAAAATACTAGTAAAAAAATCCCCAGAAAACAGTCAGGTTTTGTTAGATCGGGAGCTCTAGTTAACCAACTAAGGACCTCATACAATTTATTTATGTAGAATATCTATTTAAATCATATTAAGTATAACTATTTTGAACTGTATACAGTAGGTACTATAATATAACATTCACTTTATTTTAATTTTTTTTCTGTAACGGTGACAATAAATATTAAATCTCGTATACCCCGTAAACTATAAAAAGTAAACTTATAGGTATATTAACAAAATCGAATGGAAATTCAATTTTAAATTAATTTATTCAAAACCTGGAATACCCATAATTGTAACTTTTCTATTTGAAATCTATTAAATGGGTTATGTATAAAATAGCTTTCTTCATCCTCGAACGAGTGGTGAAAACTTCATTTTGCTGTCATGTTTAATTTTGGAGAAACTTGTTATTTGCTACAATTTTTTTTTAACTTGATGTTTAAAGTGATTTGTACAACCTTCATACATATTTACAAGCCATGTCGCCACCCAGCTTAAACAACCCAACATTACACAATTGGCACCGGTAACAAAAATTCCCTGAATCTTGGCATCACCAATATTAATGATTCGTTTCCAATGAACAATGATAAACCTGTCTGATAATGCGATTGCTGATTGATAGAATAGAATCTCGTGAAAAATTACATCAATAACAGCCGATGACACATAATATTGTGTTTTAATATAATCTTAATCTTATTGTTTTAATTTTCCCGAAATTTTGAATTGAATTGATTGAACTGTACTATGTCCATGTCAAAATTCATTTTTCTCTCTGCGGTTGTTTTTGAGGAAAGTTAAAAACCCCAATTTCTATCCCAATCTACTAAAAAAGTTGTATTTCTTTAGAGGAAAATCTATTTCATTTTATAAAACTATTTTCTACATAACTTTTATACATATTCTTGCAATGAAGAATAGACTGTAATTATCAAATCAAATCAAATCAAATACACCGACTTAATAGCGAAATGTAATTAATATAGAAAACTAATAAAGGTCGAGGCTAATTTTGTATAATGTAAATGATAAAATGCAGAATTATTTCTTATAAATAAAAGACCTAAACATGTACTTACTGGGTTCGGAGCTGATATTAGTCCGCGCATTAAAGTTGTAAACGTCGACGCCTGGCATCTCTTTGACTAGGGTCTGCATCATTGTGAGTTCCACGTCAGCGGCTTCTTCAAAATCTTTTTTGTTAATTAAAACTTCAATTTGTTTGGCCAATTCATCAATTCGTGTGAAGCCCTGCTTATCAACTAATCCCTTTCCAGGCGGAAAATTTAATTATATTAAATATCAAATAAATTACAAGCTGTAGCGAGGTGATCGAATATCTTTGAACATCTAATTACGAGCAAGTGAAAGTCGGGGCTTAAAATGATAAATTTGAGATTTTTTAAATGATTTTTTTTCTGGCTCAGTTTCTTTGAAATTCAATCTATTCATGGCGCAATTAAAAAGGTTTTATTTAGTTAAATGGGAAATTAAATGATGGCGTTTGTATAAACGGATCTTCGTTTCCCGTCAATCAGAGAGTATAAGGGACAAGAGCCTTCGTCTTACATAAGTCAAAATTATCTCAGTTATTCAAGCAATTTAGGCCAATAAAAAAATACTTAATAAATCAGGAAGCATTTTTTGCAATCAGCAGTAGGACTATACTTACTTATTTTTATAATAAATTAATAAGGTTCAGAGACCTGTGACCCAAATAATGCTTGTTTATATTATGTGCTTGTTATTACGGATATATTAATATTTATTGTAGTAGATAAAACCCAAAATAAAAAAATCGTACAACTACATTTTTCTTTTAAATATCATCTGTAGTTTTGTGAAGTTTTAAATTTAGAAATAAATCAAAACATCAAAACAAGTTCTTAAATCGAACTAATATTAAGAATTTAATTATCCAACCCCAACTTAAACAAGTCAAAACAGGTAAGTAGTTAGTTTCTTGTTACAGAAATAACTTTGGTGTAGTAGAAAATAAGAGCAAGTATTCTAATTAATTGATAAAACCGTCGTTAGTACAACCAAAGCATTCACCCGAAGAGTTCATCTCGTGGTACATATTTCTTTCATTGCCTGTTCGAAATTAATACTAGAGTATTTCATATTTTATTAAATTATAATACGGAATAACTTCTTTCACTTGTTGTTATATTAACGTGAATTTGACAAAAACGTAAATTTCTGTGGGAAGATGATATTTCCTTAGTTTCGGAATGGAACTTACGTCACAGTTTTTTAGGCATAACAGATCTCCATTGAATTCTGAGCAATGGAGCTAATGGGGAGGAACGTCAAAAACCAACGAATTGTTGTGTTTCAGGCTGATATGGTGTGGTTCGGATGCTTTGGTAAAGCTACTAAGTTAAAACAATGTGACTTAGTTTGAGTACTAGGGCATAAGAGAAATCGTGGAGAACGCTGATGGGTTAGCCAGAGCAGGTTCATCTACAACCATACAGAGATCCGAACCTTCTTGCGGTATTACTAGCTATGTCAATAAGATAAAGGCCAGGAATAGTTGGCCATATAGAATTAAAAGAAACCTTTGGGTAAAAACAAGCTAGGCCGTTCTTAAAAGTACCATCGAAGAAACTGACACTGGACTTACTCCATCAAAGTTTTAAATCAACAAGAATAATGGTAAGACTGCTAACCTGACTTAGGAAACATCTGAAGAATGTTGGTTTGTATTAGACGACTTTTGTTGAAGGAACGGGAGACCACAGTGTACAGTGCCTAGCAAGTTGGAAGGAGCGATCATCAAATCTGCGAGGCATAGCCCAGAGGGTAAAGTTAGAAGAGGACTTTAAGATAATGGAGGTTCATAGTATAGATTAGATATGTGGTATTAGAAGTTTGACTGCCTTAATTTTAACATCCGATAGAATACATTAAAATAAATACAAAAACCTTATATGACATGGGTCCTAAACTCAACCATTTCCGAGAAAATAATTATCAAAATCTCCAACTTGATGTACAGAAATTCGATTAATTAAGGAACATTGACATAATTGCGTGCATAGACTATCATAAAATACAATGTTTATCACTTTTTTTGAACTTTTTTATGCTTAATTCTAAAAAATAATTAGCGTTGTAATAAATTTAAAATTCGATAAAATTCATATCCAGCAATGTGACAACGGCGCGGCGGATAACACGAGGTACTAAGCTGTCCAGCAATACGCAATTTAGTTGCTATCTGGAACTGGACCGTGTGTGTGTTTTTTGAGTACCACTATTTCCTTTTCTTGAGGTGTTTTCCAGCGAGTGCGCGAAAATTGGATTCGAAGGTGTCGTGCGTGCACCGAAAATGGTTGTGGACATTTTGAGCATAAGTTGTAGTTTGTTTTGTACTTGTGCGTTTAAAAATTACTGAATTATGCTTTTTGGTAAATACCTAAATTATTTTTAATACGTATGATTATTTATGCATGACGTGAATCTTTGGGTACTTTAATTCCATATTTTTCAAATTCATAATTTGATTAAAACTAAGTTCCTGTTTTAAGAGATTCATAATTACTAAAATTCGAGCTAGAATTTAAGCACGACACTATCTATCGATAAATTTTATTTTATTTATTTAAAAACTGGAAAACAATCGTCTTGAAATTTACTAAATGTTCTACAATAATAGTTGTTTACATTTTTTCCGTAGGACAAGTCTGTCGCGTGGACACACACCAGCCGTGTAGTGTTAGGTTAAGTGCTGTTGTCACGTTGTGATGAAACTCCCCAATATTAATACTCGCTGTATTTTGAAAACTGTTAATTTTACGCCCCTGTAATATACAAGTTTTTTGTTCATTTATAATTACTCTATCTCATGCTGAAGTAATGGCAGTCGAATTTCTTACACCCTGTACATTTTTGGTTGTAGTCTAAAAGTATCCACTTCGTCCATCTAAAATCTACAATCTACAATTATTATTCTGGATCAACACCTAATTGAACTCTTTTACTCAAGAGCATCATTTTTTAACATGTCTAAAAGTTAGTTCATAAATTAGCTAGACAATGTTTAGCTCTATCTTGAATATATTTATTATTTATTTCAAATTTCTTAGAAAATAGTGATATAAAGATAGAGACAGTGTACATACAACGTTTTATCTTTCCGGAAACTACATTACTTCTGTACTGATAGTCCTGTAATCCTGTAACAATTTTTATTTTGTCGTAATTCCTTAAGTGGTTATGTAAATTCAGTTTACAGTTTTGGCGATGTGATTTACAGGGCATAACACGAAAATGGAAATTTAATGTTAGTGTATTGGCCACTCACCAACTGATGAGCCAGTGGTGCATAACTCCTTATGTATTCCACTGGAGATATATAAGAATTACCCAAACCTATTCCTTTGAAATTCCATTTGTGTTTGTTGTGTTTTTTCTTTTTCTGAAAATTTAATGCTAATTAAATTAAGTAGAATATAAAAAATATATCAAATTGATTGTTTATTGGTAAATAAAGAAAATGAAGACGTTTCACGGCATTCAATTTAATTGGGAATATTACATAACAGAAACATCGCAACTGAATAAGTACGTCATAACGTGGATGTTTATTATGTTACAGTCAATTGCTTAATTTTATAATATTTTACCAGCAATCCTTTTTTGTGATGTTATTTAATTTTGATTGAAAATTTCATAGTAAATCAAATGTTAGGACTGATAAAATATCGCATTGTAGGATATTGTAATTACTAAATAAAATTGAGATCTAAAACTAACACTCGTATATAACACAGGCCGACAACAAAAAAAAATTGTTTTTTGATTTTTAGATCAGACCTATCATTTCTTATAGATTTTGATATGCTGAAATCGAATTTGAAGGGTAAAAAATTTTTCATAGTTTAGATTAAGTATATTAAATATGCAGTTATCTCAATAATCAAACCTTTGGTAAATATGAAAAATACCGACTATATTCTGATTTTAACCTAGATGACTGATTTCCTATGTATTCTTGGGTGCTGAACACGAATCTGATGTCCAAACATGGTGGACGCCCGCATTGAGGGCAACAAAAGGCAAAAGAAGGTAAAAACACAATTATATTGTTGTGTGTATTTTCCTATGTAATTTTAGGAGCTCAGCCCATCCGAGCACTCTGCCCTTCCAAGGGCAAAAAGGAGAACACACAATTCTATTGAAAAATCTCAAGAGTGTAGTATTTTTTAACTTGACAACCAAGATTTATCGCTGGTTGTTAGGACCCTTACGAAGGGATAAAACCCTTCCAAAGGTTCGCCACTTGCGTAGCTTGACACTGGTTAGGTCAGGTTAGGCTATTCTTAAAAAACATCGGATTTATGTTGAGCGCCCAAAAATACATAGGAAAACACACCTTACACTTCTTTTTTAAATATAATTGTGTTTTTTCGCCCCTTTTTGCCCTAAAAAGGACCGTGTACCAAGATGGAACATCAAATTCGTGGTCAGCATCCAAAAATACATAGGAAATCAGTAGTCTAGGTTAAAATCGAGATAAAGACTTGTCCCTGCGATTACAAAAAAATCTAAGATACAAATTTTTTTTTATTCTTCAAATTTGGTTTCAGCCATATCTATAAGAATTGATAGGTAAAACCAAAAAAAATATTTAATTAACCTGTGTAATCGTCTAAAATCATTGAAAATTATGCTTGTGGTGTATATTTCATTTGATGTTCTATACTGCGCTCTATTGTTTTTAATGATGGTGTGTAACATTCAATTGTGCTAGAAAATGTTTGCATGAATATATAAACTGTTAGATATGTCAATAAGAAGGTAATAGTCAGTATATTTAAGAAATACCCGACAAATTTAAAACATTACTAGTGTTTATTGTATTTTGGTTTACTTCACTTTGTTGTTCTTATGAAAAGTTTATTTTATGTTAGGCAAAATGCTTATTCCACTTCGAGCGCTATTTTAATATGAAATTTAAATCACAATTTTATACTTTATATATCATTTTATAATACAGATGCCCTACATATTATATCGCTGTCAAAAATTATAAAAGTAGCATCATCTTCTAGTATCTCCCGGAATTATGCAAACAAAACATGACATACCATAGTTGTTTAGGCAGAAATCGTGTGGTCTAGTAAAAATATGGGTTCTTATTTGGTCAGTCGATGAATCAATGTGATAGTATCGCCACAGACAATATAGCTTATCGCCAGCTATTTCTGTGTCTGTGGTATAGCTCTTATTAGCGCATTTACAAAACATGTAGTTGTTTCGTTTAGTCATTACTTGCGTTTGGTGCCAAAATTTATCAGGATCAAAATTTGTAATTATATTATGACTGTTTTATAAATTAAGAGGATTATTACCTATTATCCACTAATATGCTAGCTATTATCTATTACATAAGATTACATAAAAATGTGATTTTTATTTTAAATTCTGTTATTCTTTCCAGTTTGTGTACAATAGATAACGAGGAAAACTGTGACGACTATGACGATATCGTTTTTGTGTTAACGTCAGGATACGCATAGTGGGTGATGTTATTCTGAGTCCCTATTTTTTTAACGGGCAATTAACAGGAGTTTCTGGAGAACATGTTATCCGAATTATTGAATAACGTACCACTACAAGTACGAGCACGTATGCGTTTTTTTAGGATGATGCCCCTCTATACAACACCCACGCCGTAGGTAAATTTATTACAACGCTAGGAAGGCGTAAATTCACGCTTTTTACGTCCGAATTTTCTTGATAGTATGGATAATGTACTTTCACACACTAATTTTGAACAAATAAACTCTAATAAAAAGTTAAGCCAAAATCCGACAATCTGTAAACCGCGAACTAATAAAATCTTAACCCATAAATCCTAAATTCATAAACCCACATTCCATAAACGCATAGACCCTAAATCTTTGCCATATGTCTTTCACCCATAAAAAAATAGCCCATTAACTCTCACCCCTTAACCCATAAACTCTAAATCTATCAAACCCCTTCAACAAATATCTCTAAATGTTTGCCCATATATCCTTAAACCGTAAAACAAAAACCTACTAACTCTCACCCCATACACCATACCCATTAATTTTAAACCCATAAATCCTAAAAAAAACAAATAATCCTACAACTTATATATTTTACGTCAAAAAACTCAAAACTCATCAATCCAGAACTTATAAACCATGAACCTATATAGCAAAACCATATTCGATAAACATTGAAGATACAGTTATATTTTGCAAGTTTAAAATGAAAAAGTTCTTAATATTGAAACAATAGTCTCTTTTATAACCTAACTTCGAATGCACATGAATTTCTATAGTAGTTGAAATATTCATTTAGGGCATGTAAATGAAAATTTCTGGTTTTTAACTTATTTAAATTATATTGATTGTTTATCTCTTTTTCAAAATGCATTTTAAAATGATAATGAATGAAAATGTCACAATGAATGATTAATAAAATACAAACTTGATTGAAAGTTTATTGAATGAAGATTTATGAGTTTAGGATTTAGGGTTTATGGGTTTTCGGTATATGATTTACCAGTTTCGTGTATGGATTTAGGATTTATGGGTCTATGGATTTAGAGTTTATGTATTAAGGTTTTACGGTTTATTAGTTTAGAGTTTATGTGTCCCTGAATTTACGGTATATGGGTTCAAAATTAATGTGCGAAAATACAATATGCTATCAAGAGAATTCGTGAATAAAATGTGAGAATTTACGTCTTCCTAGCATTATAATAAATTTACCTACATCATATACCTATTTTCTGCAGAAATCCGCAAAAGTACAGTTCCTGAAAAGTACCTACTTAAAAAAATCAAGCAATTTCATCTACATGCGGGTTGTCGATTTGCATTACTGTGTGCGGTAAGGAAGCTCCTTTAATAAGTTTTCTCAACGATGAATTGAGCGTTTTGGTCCTGTGGCGTGGCCAATTTGATCATTCGACTTTAATCCACTGAACTTTTATTTCTGGGACTATTTAAATCATTGATATACATCTTGCTAATTACTAGGGTGCAGAAACTACATAATCGTATATTCGTAGTTACTGACAGATTTTATTTGCAATCTGGGAGAACATTCGTCAAAATTTTGTGCGTCGTTGCCATGCCTGTCTCGTATTCACAATTTCAACATTTTCTGTAAAACTGGCTTGTCTTTTACTGATTTAGTATCTACCTTGTGCTATTTTTAATATAGCTTTTACAATTTTAAACATAAATAGATAAGATCATGTTTCATAACTATGTATTTAAATAATAGGTATAAAAATAAAATTATGCTTAAATATTCGATTTGCTTTAAAACTTTTATTTTTCTCGCTTGAAAAATTTCGGAAAAGAGGGATACTCCTGATCTTTTATCAACACTAATTTGCATAGCAGATGGAAGTTTAACGCGGTTTATCTACTGTGCAGGCGGCAATTACGTATTGTCCTTGACCTATTCATTCAGGGCCATACTAATGACTATTTTTTCTTTGCATAATTGAAACTTAATTGTCTTTGGTGTACACCTTTTGCACATGACTTTTTTATTATAGATATTCTTATTAAACTAATTTTTAAAACCACCTAATTCTATAATTCTAAATTGTGGCGAACAAGTTATGGGCGAATTTCTGTCGACGTATCCTCTTAATGTTTATCATTTAATTAACATCTTTTGAAATATGCAACGTTGAAATCATTGTTCAAATGATTGGTATACGAAAATAATGAAGGTCTTACTTGAATTTAAAATTGAAGTTGATATTTTTAAGATATTATTTGTAAAACGTACCTTAGCAATTTGACAAGCGAATTCGACAACCATTTTTCCACCATACGATTCTCCAAAAATGTAAAGCGGCACATTTTGAAAATCTTCTTTTCTGTTCATAAATATTTTAAGAAAACGAAATAGATCTTCGCCAATTTCTTCGTTATTTTTCGGGGTTTTTGTATCATTTCCATCAACGTGACTATAGCCAACTCCAACTGGATTGTCAATGAATAAAACATTGAAATCTTGTATCAGAGAGTAATTCCTTTTTTCAAAATTTATGTCAAGTGGACCAATTTCCATGAAGTTTCCATAACCACTAGATGGCATTCCAGGACCACCTAGGTTACAAAATAAGTTTAAATTATCTTATGCAAAAAATATTTGTTAAGGATTGGGCTTTGACAAATATTAATATGGTCAATCTTTGTACCGAAAGTATACTAACAATAAGACATAAAACAGTGCCGTTGGGCTCTGGGAATCTGGCGCGAAATAAAAGAAAACGTTTTGTTTAGAATCAAATTTATAGTTACCGGTTTTGGAAGTGACTGCAAGAGCAAATTGTAAGGAGCAAATTTAACTTTTGGGAGTTAGTTACATCAAAATAAATAGTTTATTATGTCATCATAAAATTTGGTTCTAAACAAATTTTCTTAATAATATTTCGCTCTTTTATTAGATGTGATTTGTGGCATTTGTGTTATTATTTTTTTAATGCTAATATCCATGTTTATGAAAATGCAATAATAATAACTCTAACACATCTTTACAAATTACGATTACGGATGTCTCTAATCACTCAAACTCAGATGTTATTAAAAATATTTTATTCTAATACAATTTTTCAATTTCAATTAACAGAAACAAAAAAGGTGATTATTAGTAAGGTAATTTTCGGACTAGCTACATGCGTGAAGCATTTCTCTAATTGGCTTTTGTTCCAGTGACTTCCACAATTAAGCAAATCTGATGGTAGGTCAGTAGTCAGTATGTTTTGTGTTCTTTAGTTGTATGTTGCAGTATTACTTAGCCGGCTATAAAATGTTTTCTGATCAGGAACTAGCAGATATGGTGTCATGGAGAATGTCAGTACAATTTAAATGAGACTTGTCGTTTGTATGTGGTCCGTTACCGTAACAGACGGCTACCTAACAGTAGAACAGTGCAAAAGGCCGTTCAGAGGTTACGGGATACCGGGAATGCCCACCTGCCATATGAAGGTCGTGGACGGGAAAGGCCGCAACATGTTTGCGACAACGAAGAAAATATCATAAATCTCATTGAGGAAGATCCTAGGAGCAGTACTCGCGACATTGCCGAGAAGTGGGTGTATGGCGTGTACTATGGGAACAAATATTACACCTCTATCATGTACAAAGGGTTCAGGCATTAAATAATAATAATTTTCAGCCCCGTGTGAAATTTTGCCAGTGGTTTCGACATCAAATAGCACAAGATCCGAATTTTACAAGCAAGGTGCTTTTTACGGATGAATGATGTTTTATTAGAGATGGCATACTAAATTTTCACAACATTTACTATTGGTGTGATGTAAATCCTCACGTTGTACAGAAATCTCGGTTCCACCAACGGTTCCAGTGAATGTGTGGTGTGGTGTTTTTGGTGACAGATTACTCGGTCCGATAGTATTACATGGTGCTTTATTTGAAATAGCAAAAATTTATTGTCAACAATGTTAATTCCATATAACTTTTTATAACGCAATAAAATTAAACTAAATGGATTATACAATAAATGCATTTAAAAAACTATACCGGAATACAGTGTGAAAACAAACTTACATTAATAATATACGTTTCATACTCTAAAATTTTTCTTTTATATTCCCTCAATGACACAACATTATTGATTTCATTTGTCAATCAGTTGTATTGATCAAGAACTTCATACAGGGTGTTTTTGAATGGAGTAGCATAAATGATACCAGTGAATCTACATTTCAAAAGAACACGATCTGCAAAAAATCGCCTTAGTAAAATGTTCACCCCTGAAGAGATATGGGCCATCAAAGTTTTCAAAAAAATTATGAAAATTGGCTGTAATTTGAAAACCGAACGAGGTACAAATAACAAATTTTTTACAGGTTGTTTACTAATACAGATGCGAGTTTTCAACTATTTTTCGAAAATTTTAACCCCTCGAAAGGGGTTGAAATAACCAC